AAAGAAAGTCCCCTCACCGTAAAATCAACACCCAGGCCAAACCCTGGACCTAGAAGCATGAAATTCAGGGAGAACACTCCTACCATGACGTAGATGCTCACTAAGAAGGGATTTTTAAAAATTTGACCCCTAAGGGGGTCAAAAGGGGTAAAATGTGCTCACCCCATTGATTCCTATGTGGCTGCTAGGCTGCTACCTCCTTGAACCCCCTGTTCTCTGACTGGTCAGCTGCAGAGCTCAATGTTCTAAGTTAAAAAAAAAAACAGATACAAGAGACTGCACAGAGCTAACGACAGTTGAGGAAATTAGGAATGGCCAACAACCACCTGTGAGGTGCAGTAATGCTGCTGGCCCAGCCTCTCTGATGGCTTCCAACATGCTCCCCCCACCTCCTCCACCTAACAGGTGGTTGTCTGTCAGGTGCAGCAATAGGTGCAGGGTGCTTAAAGCCACAAGGGAGCCCACCCCAGCAGTAATGCCTTAGTGATCCTGCCAGCCCTGCGTCCATAGTGCCTTCTAATACCCCTCCCACACTGGACAGGCAGCTGCCTGTCAGGTGTAGGAGAGGAGGTGGGAGGCTTACAGCCACTGGGGAGGTTTGCTCAGCAGAATTACCTTAGCCAGGGGTCATTTGGACCCGGAGCGGGCCAGAGCAACGCTCCAGCAGCCAGTGCCAGTCCCCTCCCATGGGATAGTCCTTTACTATCTCCCTTGGCGGGGTGGCTGGGGAAATGGAGGTGAGGTGTTTAAAGAAGCCTCTCCCCACCCCATTTTTTGCTTCCCCAGCCAGTGCGCCTTGGCAGGCCACTTGGCAGAGAGCTGGGAAAGGCGTCCCCCATCGTTGTGCCGTAGACCCCGCCCTCGTTGGCCACGCGCATTCTCAAAGGGCACTTCCTTTCCACTGCAGTCCTTTAACTCTTCAGTCTTGTTTCTTTCCACCATATGGGTGTTCTACATACCCAGATAGGATTCCCACTTTAAACTCAGGAGTAGATGCTTTAATTCGAGGAACCTCACACGTGTATTCCTAATATGGCCAGCAGCTCTTTCATACTTTTTAACTCAAGGAGACGCTTATGGCATAGGATATGTAAAGCTTCATAGGTTGGTATCTGTGTAACGGAAGGAAATATTTGCATTTAAATTTGGTTTAATCCAGTTTGCAAAAAAATAAAACTAGTAGTGTCACTGTGTTAAAGATGTTCCTGTTTTACCACTGTTGCATGCCCACCCCAAAAGTGAGTTTATTAATAGGATTGCTCCCTCTGAAGTAACCTTTAAATATGAAAGCTTATAATACTACAACTTAGATCATATGGCTGTCATACTGTCTGCAAATGGAGCACCTGTAGCATTGAAATGGCACGGAGTTTGCAACTGTCTGCTCACTGTCCATTACGGTCTGGAATAAAAAAAAATATGTCCCTTTTAGTTTACAGAGATTTGCCAATGCTTACGGAATTTGTATGAGAACAATGTAGATAAACTCTTCTCTGAGATTGATTCTACAATAACTGCAAGTCAAACTCTATTTCAACAACTGGACAAAAAACTGGGCCCATTCATAAGTGAAGCTGAGTGGGAAAAAATACAGATGCAGGTTAGTTTGAGAACTGGAAATTCAACTTGGGCTCAATGTACTCCTGTTATGCATTTACCCACCCTGTTTATATCCTGTTGTCTTCCTTCTAGCAGTTTCAGGTCAGTGCACACAGACTGTCCCATTACAGCCTCATAACAACCATATAAAGTGGGATAAATTATGAGATAGCAACTTGTCCTTGGCCAAGCAGTGCGCTTAGCAGCCGCATAAGAATTTGAACTTACGTTTCCTTGTTCCAAACCCAAAATTTGATTCACTGTATCTCACTGGCACACAGTGCTACGAGTCTGGCCTGGCCAGAGAGCAAAGCCATTTACTGTACTGTGTCTTACCACTCTGTTAAGCTAAGCAAGTGTGGAATTTTCATTAAGGAGTCTTCTGATAACAGATCGTGCCTCAATGCTGACATCCCACACTCACCTCAAAATTATAGTCACCCCTTCTGCTATGTGAACTGCGACGTTCACTGCTTGCTTATTTGCTTTTTCGACCAAATCCACCTTCTCTGCAGCTGTTGCAAAAACAAATTCAGAAACATTTTACAGTAATTAACAAGAATGCAGTTTTATACAAGGGCATTTGGAATGTTCTGTTCAGAGAACATAAGCTATTGCTAGTAACATTGTTCAGTATTTTCTAACATCACTTTCATTTTTGTCTCAGGCTCTCCGGCAAGATATAGCTGACTGCCCAATTTGCATCATGCCCCTCAGTCACCCCACTGGTCTTCAGGATGGACTTCCCCAGGACAGCCACCAATCATGTTCACGCAAGACTGTTCTGCTCTCCTGTTCACACATGTTCCACAACACCTGCCTTCAAGCATTTGAAGAGTTTTCCTTAGGAGAAACACCCATTTGCCCCTTGTGCCGCTCTTGCTATAAAAAGAAAATCCTTAATATGTTAGCATAAATGATATAATTTACTACATTGGCAGAAATATTAATATACTTGGAGAGGTGTGTTGATCATGTTTCATATAAGCTGACTCCAGGCTGAATGCACATACAAGCCTGGGAGACTGGCTCTTGCAACCCCCCGGGCCTGAGATTGTTCAGGACCTCATCATGCTCCACCACCGGGTGGGTTAGAGATTAGATTTTAAGCCAACCTGGCCCCTGGCCCCAGCCTCTTCTCTGGGCAGTGGCACTTCCAACAACCTCTTCAAAGCTATCCATGAGGAGATAAGGAGCAGGAAAAGGATTCCTAAACCCTAGATGGAAGAGGGAAAAGAAGATCTACAGCTGATTTGTGACCCTTTAATCCATGACATTTTTTATCTGAGACCTTATTTCCCATAGAACACTTACTTTCCCGTTTTCCTTCTGAGAGCTACAACTAACATATCCTCATATGCACGTACTTTGTGTGTACACCAACATAAATTGCAAGGGCAATGTCCATTCTGCTGAAGAAAGTCCCCAGGCTCCTTGTATGGGCAAGTCTCAGACTGACGCTGACTGCACACCCATAAAGGATTCGCAACATCAAGGCTACGTCACACTTGTGCAAATTTGATCCCAAAGTGCTTGAGGTATATACCGATCCCCACACCAAAGATCTGCCGTTACAAAACTTGATCCGAACAATACATTTTGAAATCAATTCATACAAGAACATCTTGTCAAATCCTTTAATTGACACTGTAAAACAGCCAACTTTGTAAAAGATATTGGAGAAAGTGGAGAAAGATAAACATCACATTACAATCCGTAAACAAAGTGTTCAGTTAACCCAAATTGCGGCTATTTCTCAAGTAACCCACGTCAGCTTGAGCTCAGCTTAGAAACAGCCGAAGGGTGTGCTCAGACTTTGCGGTGACAGTTCTGTCCCTGTTCATTAACACGCTGTGCTACCAAGCCAAACAGTGGCTTACCCAAGAAACTTAATTCACATACATTGTTTTTGGTCTGATTTGATAATATACCTAGTTTATAAAACGAAAGCATTATTTGTGCTTTGGCCTCATAATAAATGAGGCAGATGATTGATGTCAGAAAAGCTTTTTATACCTTAAAGAGGTACAGAACACTTGACTCTACATGAGTCAAACCACTAGGAATGTACTGCCAATATCCATCAATGAATTACTGCTTCTACTTAATTGAATTTAAGCCTTTTAAAATGTTTATGCGTATCTGGGGGGGGTAGAGATGGACAAGACAATAGCTAGGGTTTACCTTAAATTTCAGACATTGAAATTGTACACCTTCACTGTGTTGGCAGAAAACAAGTTTGTGGTATTGTGTGCTACTGGCACCAACATGCACTAGACAGACTCAAGGTACAGCTTCACATGTCTGATTGGACACACGAAATTTCCTAGTGAGGGGCAGGTACGTATAGACAGGGTGAAACACACACCTGACTCCATAAATTACAGCCATCAGGATAGGCCCTCTGCTATAAAGAGCACTTTAGGAAACCCTTTTTGACTATGTCATAGACTATGAATGCCAGCCAATTCCAGGATGCCTTGAAGGCAGAGTTCCCAGGGAACTGCTTCCCCTTCAGCATATCCCCCATTTGATGGAATGAGAATGTATCTGCTGAAACAGTTTCCATTGGAGTTAAGACCTGCTTTACAGACTATTTCTCCCCATACTCTCCCAACTGCATTTATTGGTTCTCTGTAATTACAAATTTCTCCCAAAATAACTTTCTACACATGGAAAATGTGGATATTTCAACCACATTTCCCCTTCTGGGCCATACTAGGTTGATAGATTTGTAATCGTATCTTCCATAGTTTTTAAAAGTGTTAATTGGTGGAAGTGGGATGGGGGTTGATACTAATGGGGCCATGACACCAGCTAAGGCAAGTTAACTTTTCCCCCAGCTCAAATCATACAGATGCACCCCAGGAGGTATTTCTCCCCCCCGCCCCGAGAAAAGCATTCAGTATGTGTATGATACATGAAGCTCTTGATAGAAATCTCTCACAAATACACCTCAGCTGTAATTAGACTTCCAGCACAAATCAAGTTGCATCCTTAATGGTTTTTGCAGTTATCACATAGCTGAATCCAAGAGTATACAAGTGCTTAAAATCAAACTATTAAATGTACAGTCATACTTCATGTGACTCTTACCCAAGCAGGCCAGTAACGGCGCTCCAAAATTCCTCAAACAGCTCAATGAAGTCTGAATTCAAGCATGTAGTAAATGCAGTAGTTATGGCAGCGATCTGGTTGAGTCCATTCTTGAACCAAAGGAGTGATTATATGTATACTATGCAGAATTCACGTCCTCTGTAGGCATGTTACTTGTTAACCTACTGCGATATGTCTCCCTGCATGTGTCAGGTGTAGATGTCAGCGATGCGTATATGTGTCCCCTGACAGGCAACACTGCCCAGTTTTAAGAGGAGGAAGATTCATCAAGGCAAGTGATAGCCAAGCCTATCCTAAAATTGGTTGCTACTCTTCCATAGGGGTTCAGCACACTGACCAAACTGATTACATTGCCGCTATAAGTGCAGGCTTCCACTATGTAAAATCCCAGTTACTAGGTCCCATTTCATAAAGGTACTTCTGCATGTGCTGTTTTATCACGTCCACTTGGGATGTCCATAAAACCACTGGAATGTAGTTATTCCAAACAATACCCTCCAAATTTTTTAACACAAGATTTGCATTAAAATGTGTGAGAAATTGAAGACATTTCTAATGTTCAAGAACCCCACAATGAAGAAAAACTCTCGTTAACGCTAACAAAACTAGCAACTTTTAAATCTTTTTTTAAAGAGTCAGACAGCCTGTTAGGTCATCTGAATATTGTACGTGTCACGATGCAGTGTGGATGAGTGTTCCTAGGTTTGCTGAGATTGACATAACACTGATATTCTTAAATGAGGTGAAACATTTAATGTTGCAGGTTCCCGTTCATCTTCTAAGTGATAACAATGCCCTCATCTATGCAGCTAGTGGCACTTCACCATCCAACAGCATGGTGAATATACACTGGCTCCTACAGTCTACATGCTGAATATACACTGGCTCCTACAGTCTACTCGCCTCCATTCACAGTATGTTAGCCAACATGCTCATTTTAGCTTCCTTCAGCTTCATGTGCACACAACAAAGAATCATACAGTCTGTGAATGTGACCTTAACTAAGCCCCTAAACAGGAATCTAAATTTTCACACTAAAAAATTTTAGCATGTGGTCTGCTTGGCAGATTACTCTGGGTTTCAAAAAATATATAGGTGTGCATATAGTCATGGACTTACAGGATTGAATGAAAAAGTGGTTTGCTTCACTGAGCTGGAATGCACTGCATACTTACTAGACCTAAACCCGGGGTTTGAGAGGAGCGGTTTACTACTGGTAAGTTATGTCAGTACGAAAGTTCTATGCAACTGCCACCTCCTCACTGTCTATGCATGGGGGCTACACATGGCACAGAAGACGACCAACAGTGTTCCGTGCATAGTATTTAGTGGAGTGTATGATGGCCATGTTGCTCACCTATCCCTTATCCACAGTGATTGCAGGTCCGCCAAATTATACTCTGTTTACTAGGCTCAAATTTAGCACTGTGGTATGAAACAGAGTTACTGTGTGGCTCACTAGCTGTGGAAGAAGTCCTGTCTAGGGATAACCGGAGGGCCACTTACAATTTGCAACTAAGAACTGCTGGCATCTTCAACACAGTGGTGCAAACTGGTCAGGCTAATGCATTGGTCCTGGGCCTTTCTGCCCTCCGCAAGTTTTCACGATTGATGGCAAAGCAGCAGCTTTGATGGAAGGCTTGCCACTGACAGCTAACAAGGCTCATCTTTAGACCTCACTTCCAACAGACCTAGCCTCGCTCTTCAGCAACGTATTTATGCACAGAAAATTCATTGCCTGGTCTGCTAACAAGACAACACGGAGCTCTGTTCAAAGAGGACTGCGGTTTTCTTTACCATTTCCAGATGTCTCTCTCTGCACCAGCTGACTGAATAATTAAGACAGACCCATCCCAGTGAGAAACGAGTGCAGTCTGATGCATCCAGCTCTCTCGATCGCATTTTTATCAACTTGGACCCAACAGACAAACAAAAGCAATTAAAAAAAAAAAACCCCAAGGGTGATGAAGTGACAGGAATGTCATGAAGTCAAAAGGGCTCAGCTCCGTCAGCTGCTGTTCACAGTGTTTTCTGGTGCCCGTTGGCAGAGGGCTTTGTCGTCTCAGAGTCTCTTGCACTGTGTGAGAGCTGAAGTTTGTCTAAACCTGGAAAATATAAGACAGGGAAGTCAATGCAAATTTCTCTTCCATTTCCACTGAGCAGAGGTTACAAGATACATACAACAATGTTAACCATACACTATTGAGGATTTGCCTGTTATACTTGTTGAGAAATGGACTAATTTATGGTTTTATATCTGCTTACACACGCAACACATGGACTGTGCACACACCTGTATACCATAGGCCTAGAGGAAGCTGTTTGCATCCCCTACTGTGAGTGATTTCACACTTGCCTGCATTTCATGTTAATGTACGGTAGTTTGCACACATTCAGCTCAAAGCCTTATGGGAAGAAGAAGCACATGTTAGCCATCGTGGGCAGAGGCAACAAGCAAGAAGAAGAAATTCCCCCATTGCTGAGGAGACTAGATGTCACCATAACATGGACCTGATCTGCATTTGAATTGCCGTTTCCTGTTGATGGTGCCTTGTCTGCCTGGTAAAGCCAAGATCCATCTACACATCAAGGAAGGCACAGGAAGCCGAGACTTCACACCTGGCCAGATGGTGTTCCATGAGATAGAGTGTAGAGTTTCAAATATTGCCCAACCCATAGAATACCTGCCCCTTTCTACATGCACCAATGAGGGAGGTCATGGGATGGACTTGTAAGTAGGTGGGATTACAGTTTGGCAAGGTGCCACCCACCTGGAGATTCAACTATAAAAGTAAAGACCAAACGTTAGGTCTTTGCTAGCCACATCCCTTCTCAACGTCCTCTGTCTTCTTTTCTACCCCTAAAGTGCAGCTCTCTATCAAACAACCCTTTTACCATCCTACATCTCTTGGACTGCAGCCAAAGAGATCCATACTTTGCTGGCTGGTTCTAGCAAGTGTGATTTAGTTAACACCCCTAGGTATTACTTTCTTCCCCTATCTTACATTGCATCAGACAAGACTTCAGGAACAGGCAAGTATAAACCGATACCTACCTACCTCCAAGTAAATGAGAAACTATCTTGATATCTTTCTGTAACTCTAAAGGAACTTGATTGTATGTGAATGTGTGAATGATTTTGTGTGTATGTGATTTCGATATTGCTCAGTAAAAAGACAATTGGCAGAACCTCCGTAAACTTTGGCAAGGACTCGCGTTAAATTTAGTTAGCCATCTGCTGTAAATAAAGCGATTGGCGTAACATACTTTTTCTACGGAAGACTAAATCTGCGGGCCAAAAAGCGGCAACAGAACATCTAATTCCCCCTTCAGTGTCTCACAGGACTTTCCCATGGTGTGACATTACACTGCTGTATTTCTTCCCTCCCTCCTCTCCATCACTGGCTGCCAGTGATGTGATCACAGTTTACTCTCTGGCCTTGGGGGCTGGTCTATTTGAAACAACAGGTTTGGAATATCTGTAATGTTTTAACTGAAGGTTGAGAAGGGAAAAAAACTTATAGGACAGTTTGATTTCTAGAGTGGGCTTTGCAGGAGAAAAAATAGTAATGGGCTGATAACCTAGAGAAGATGTGATGATTTACTATTGTGAAAGAAAAGATGGAGTTACATAGAGTAAGGAGAAAATATATTTGCACTGTAAAGCTAAGAAAAATATAAAATATTATGTTTAAGTTTGCAGCTATATGGGATTTTGAAAGCTAAAAAGATGAAGGAATATCTTAAAGGGACCAAATTATTGTTATACAAGAAATATGTGACGAAATTAGAACTGTTAAACTGTTGAAACACCTGTTTCTTTACTTTTCTATTTTTGATTATAAAACTGACTAATAATAGGGTAGCATAGATAAAATGAAATATAGCAGATAGGATATAGAAAAATGAACTATATATTGGGAATAGAATTTTGATTAATGATATTTGTTGTGGAAGTTAAACAAGGAGGGAAAAGGAACTATGTATCTAAAGATGTTGTGAGCAAGACAATGTCTAGATATTTTTAAAAGGTATTGCTCTTTTTATGTTTTGTTTGGTGTAATTCTTAAAAACTAATAAACTTTGCCCATTTGGGCAAGTATTTTTTTTAAAAAAAGATCATCATTTATAGGTAAGCAACCTGTTTTTAGAGGGAACACTGCCAGGGAGGCTTGGCACTGTCACTGAGCATTCAACTTGTGCTTGCACAACTTTTTCCAGATGTAACTATGCTACATTTCTGCAAGTTCTGCGCTCCTGTCTCTGAACTTCCCAGCATCTGCCTTCTGTTCGTGATCCAAAGCATCCCACTGCAAAAGGGCACAATTGAGAATCTTATGAAGTTAAAAATCTTATGCCCGTGCATTCTCTTTAGAAGTCAAGCAAGACACAACTACTTCCCATGCCACTGCGTACCAGGTAAGCAGAAGGGGTTGGTCTTTTTTAAATCCATACCTTTCCACATAACGGGAACCTCACCAGTTACACTCCCAAGCGTAATCTGAACAGTCCTTCAGTTTGAACATGAGTTTGAAGCGAAAGCACATATAATAGGATGAGAATGAAAGAACATGCGTTACCCAATGCTTTGAAGAGCTCTTCTCTAACTGCAGAGGTGAATTTTCTGACGAGACACAAGGTTGTCATAATGGCAAAAAGCAGATTGTAGGATAACACAATGTAGAAGTTTCCTAACCAGTTAAACCTTCCGAAGTCTCCAAGGAGGTCAAATCTGGTAATGCCTGTGGGGAAAGGGCAGAGAAATGCAATTAATTCAGAAGACATCTGTACTAATACGAAAACCATAACATTTTACATGCAATATAGCTATCATTCCATAATGCAATCCATTATTTTGGAAGCTGCATAGATAAGCAGATGACCAAAAAAATGCCATATAGCACCTAAGCAAGCTGGAGGGCCAACTGGTTACAGTTCTACCTGCAAACTCAGTATTTTGAAACTATACCGTAGGCTTGTAAGAAGAGGGCAGATTTGCTACAGCACCAGGCTCCCAAGTCTTTTGTTATTTCACGGGGGCCAACAACACAGTGCTCCATGCTCAGTAGAGAGCCGAGTGCAGGCCCAGGAAACCTGCCCTGTGCATCTGCCTCAGAGTCCAATTAAGCCATTTCCAAAAGCAGCACAACGTCGGCCTCTTAAGCCTTCGACACGGTGCTGCGACGCTGGTGCGGCTTCGTCATGCATTCAGAGAAAATGAGGCGAGTTTTTAAAACAGGTGAATTGGCTTGATCATTCTCTCATTTGCGTTTCTCATCACGGCCACAGCCCTATTCCTTCTACTGTCTACAAACCTGCTTTTGTAACGCTGTGAAAAGCTTCTATGAATCTGTTTAACTTCTTTCTTTCTTTTCATCCATCCAGTGCCACTGGGCATATCGTGTAATGTGGGGCATGTTGACATTTTGCAAAGCGCCACATGACTCACTGTACCCGAACACACTCAAGTAATCCTGTTTGGACAGCTGTGTCTGTGCATTTGTTAGCAATGTTTTAACCGTTCATCTTTTCTGTTTTTGTCTTCCCTTTATCTCTATAGCAAACGATTTAGGAATTTCATTTGAGGGCCCCAGAGAGGGGAAACTATTGAGTCTGGCCATTAATTGGGGGGGGGGGGTTGTTACACAACAACTGCACACAGCATGGACACTTTCTAAAAAATTATTCTCCCATTCTTTCTCCATGGAACCTGTCTAGGTTTCTCACAACAGCTTAGTACCAGTGCATAAGACACAGAGTTCACAATGTTAGCAAGTCTAACAAAACAGGATGTCTACATTTTCTTTGTACGTGCATTAAAACGTATACTACAAAGTTAACAGCGCAATCCTATGCAGAGTTGCTCCAATTTAGGCCCACTGAAATCAATGAGCTTAGTGTGGAGTAATTAATTCTCCATAGGACTTCACCACAATTGTGCTAAAATAAGGAGACTCTGCTGTTTACACGAATAGTTCTTCCGTTTGCCTTTATTTTCTGGTATTTTCTAACAAATCCCAGCAAATGTATCCACAGCATGAGTAATTAGACACCACACAGCTTCATATTTACATGTCAAACATATTAATTTTGTTCTATGGTCATAGCTGTTTCTCTTAGACTAATTACCAACCAGTCTCAAAATTACAAATCTCAAGCAAAGCACTCCAAAGAATGGTGATGTCTCTACTCCAGGTGTTTTGGGATAAAACCAACTAACCAGATCCCTTCCAGTTTGGGTTCTGGCCTACATAACTGACCAAAACCAACAAGCATGGACGGCTTCAAAAGGGAATTCGATAAGCATATGGAGCAGAGGTCCATCAGTGGCTATTAGCCACAAGGTATAGATAGGGACTCTGGGGAAAGTGATGTTCTGTCATCTTGGTGCTTGGGGGGGTCTACAGTGGGATGGCTTCTAATGTCCTGGCCCCACTGGTGGATCTCCTGATGGCACTGGTATTTCTGGCCACTGTGTGATACAGAGTGTCGGACTGGATGGGCCTTTGGCCTGATCCAACATTGGCATCTCTTATGTTCTTATGTCCTCCAACTTCATGGCTTTTTCAAGTCAACTGACAAGGAGCGTGCCCCTGTTCTTGGTAGCTTTCAGTGTCAATCCCTGCATCCTGGGCCCCCGGGCCAGGCTGGATTACAGCAACTGTATTCTTTTCTACTGGGCAGATCCCAAGGAGGACTGCTGGAAGGTGCCAGTTCTGCCCCATGGCCTTTAGGGCATCACAGCATTCTCTCATCGTCCGTGTCGTCTAACCTCTACCAGGGATCTTCTGCTTGTCCAATTAATGATTTAATGTTCATTAATTGGACAAGCAGGTGATAGACAGCCAGAAGTGTCTTCCCCCAGCTCAGGCTTGCCCACTAACCAGAATCGCTCCAAAGAAAGCAGGCCTTGTCATGGTTCCGCATGACCTGGTAACAGCATCCTGACTGGGCCATTGTGACAAGCTTTGTGCTACTCTATAGTTGAAGACAGACTAGAAACTTCAACTGGAGAACAACAAAGCAACCAGGACATTGACAGGAGGCCACCAAAAAGAAAACATAACACTAGCTCTAAGCCAGGGGTCTCCAACTTTTTTAAACCTATGGTCACCTTTGGAATTCTGACAAAAGGCAGTGGGCACAACTGCAAAATAGCTGCCACAAAATGGCTGCCACGGTAGGCAGAGCCACCTCAAAATGGCTACCACAGCGAAGATCCTTGTGCTGTGGTGGCAGCTGCTGCCAAAGCAATGTTTTAAAAAATCAGCACAGCCAATCAAATCTTCAGTAGCCAATCAGAACCTTTATTGGGCAAAAGCCCCACCCACTTTCTAAAAACACATGGAGGGCACCCGGAATGGTGTCGATAGGCATTGGGGACCCCTGCCCTCAACAATTTGAGCTGAGAGGCCCAAATCCACTGGGACGTACCTGTCCAGATTTAAGACTGGAGATGACCAGGATAGGCAAACAAGCCCTACTAATCTGCTCGATTTTCCCAGGCTCATGCCAACACCTGGTCCCTCTCACCAGTACAACAGCTTCTCTAGAACTGAGAGTGACCATTTTTTTACGTACCACAGCAGGGCTACAAAGAGTACAACACTGACATGGGAAGAATGGTCAGGATCGGAACTGGCTTAAGCTCCAATACATTTCTGTAGACAGAGGGTGGTACCCTGCTCTCTGTAGTGCTCACATCATACTGTTTCCCATCTTCTAGCAGTGACAAGCACTTCCATTTAAAAAAAAAATGAAAGAAAAACTCACCCAGCGTTCTTGACATAACTGGCAACGCCGAACTGAGGACTAAGATGGAAACACAGTTTCCAATTATCTGTTTGGACAAAAAAGGGCTGTCATCAATATGCTATCTCAATTTAAAACAGCATCACAGATCCGATCTTTAAGCTTGGCAAGTGGAGCAGGCAGGGAAAAAAATGCAGTTCTGCTGACTTGATTGCTTCTCATAGTCTGCCCATTCCAAAGGCCTCCAACTGGCAGAATGGTAAGCCAAGGGCTCTCAAAAAATCAGCCACGGGGATTTCTAGTTGAAATATTCTGTACTATATATTCTCTCACGTTCACACACCCCAAAATGGCTCTGAATCAGTTTCACAGATGTGTCGTGCGCAGCTGCTGTATTAGCTTAACAGGTAGTTCAGATTTTGTATAGGCATCAGGCTCCTTACTGGTCGGGTTAAAGTTCACAACAACGTTTTATCAGGAAATGACAACAGCATAATGTCCCAGCAACTGGAATGCCTCTGGTCTCTATGGAGCAATGAACAGCAGGTCAGCCATGCTGCCTGTGTTGATCCCAGAGCAATATTCCAGTATAAAGGAAGGATCCCTAAAAGCGGCAATGGGCATCCTCCGTGGGCATTACTGACGAGCAGCAGCCCAAACAGAGCACGTATATATTGCTGCACACTTCATAGCGTCTGAGGGCCAGTTCAGAAATCACTCACTCATGTGCTTGCTCATACCCTTCCAGGGCCACTCAGCATGTATGTTCATGCTTGACTTCTGCAAGCATTAAGATTCCCTCTCCAGCATCACCAAGTCATAGGCAAAACCTTTGGGCACAGGTGTGCTCTTGCTGCTTGCACAAGAGACCTACCTCAATATCAGTGTAAAGATTTCCCAAAGCTGGAGCAAAATTCCATGGGGGGGGGGGTTTCTGATGACTCAAAGAACCTAAGGCATAAATGAGCCGCAGAGCTCATGCCACTGGCTTGCAATTTCTGTTTTCCCCGCCCTCCATCCTCCCAAACTTTTCCAAAATGCTGTACATGAAAGGGCTGAGCAAATATAATGAGACTGCTCAACAGTTTTAATCAAGGATCTTCTATACCACTGTTTACTTTCCCACTTCCACAAATTCCTGACAAGGTGAAAGCAAACCCTCCACCCATCCTTCTTTGAGTAGGGAGAAGAAAGCCCCCTTTTTCTGTAAGAGGGGAATCTCAAGAATTGGTAAGTCAGTTACTTGGTTCGTTTGATTCCATCTATGGGAACTGTCTTTTATTTTTAGTACACATCTTAGCCTTTGCTGTTCTAGAGTCAGAGTAAAGTTCTGGAAAAAACAAAATCACTGACACCCTGGAGTAAAGAAGAACCATTTCTTCATTAGTCCCTCAAAATGAATGAATTTGCCTGCATCACTTGAAGTAACCAAATCCTTCACGTTTCAAACAAGCCTCTAAAGCATGGTTGGCATAATCAAAGTTACTCATTAGCAATAGTTTCCTAGAGTGGGGGGAGAACCCCTTCACTGGCCAGCTACAAGCTTTGCCATTCCTGGCTCTTTACAAGTGAATGGAGGCCACCCAAAACAAACAGGACTGCAGGCCTCCCCTCTCCCCACTTCAGCAGTTTGAAAATCTTCCCCTTTTGTTTACGCTGCTTACAAAATCCTAATCGCCACAAATGAGCTATTTAAAGCAATTACTGTCCACAGATGTCGGTTTGTCTTGGGTGGCAAAAGGGAATGAGGAAGAGGAAGGTTTGTTGTACCTTACCTTCGTCATGGTTGTGTCATCCTTTCTGGGAGTGAAATCTCCAAAAAAACGCAGGCTATAGAAGCCGACGACAGAGGAGACCATAAGATAGCTGTGAGAATCAAGGAAAAAAGTATCCCCCAAAGAATGCCAGTTGAATGGCTGACTTGACATTGTGAATAAAGAATTCCTACTTTATTTAAAATATTTATTAGCCTTCCTTCCTTCTTTACAGAGGTCGAGGTGGTTTAACAATATTAATATAATAAAACATAAAAATCAAGATTTAAAATCACAATTTAGGACAATTTAAAAAGGATACAAAATCAAAATGATCTCCAGAGCTGCTCCCACAAAACCAAATGTGGACAGAGAGGCATTTCCTATGCCAGACCCCTGCAAGAGATTTTTTTTAAAAAGCACTGTATTTCCATTTCATTTAATAATGCACTACACAGAGAACATAAATTCTTCCAGGTACCAAAGCATTAACTGCTGTGGACAGAAATCATATAAATGATTCATTCTGATGACATTTTCCCTTTGATAATTTTTTATGAGAGACAGTGTGGTGTAGTGGTTAAGAGTGGGGGACTCTAATCTGGAGAGCCGGGTTTGATTCCCCACTCCTCTGCATGAAGCCTGCTGGGTGATCTTGGGCCAGTCACAGTTCTCTCAGAGCTCTCTCACCCCTCATCTACCTCCCAAGGTGCCTGTTGTGAGGAGAGGGAGGGAAGGTGATTGTAAGCTGCTCTGAGACTCCTTCAGGTAGAGAAAAGAGGGGTATAAAAACCTACTCTTCTTCTTCTGTGTTTAGCTGATTGTACATTATCAAAGATCCAAAGGATCTAGCTGTGTTAATCTAGTGCTGCAAAATAGTAAAAAGCCCAGTAGCACCTTTAAGACTAACAGATTTTATTGTAGCATAAACTTTTGAGAAACACAGCTCTCTTTGTCAGATGCATGGAGCATCTGACGAGACCTGTGTTTCTCGTAAGCTTACGCTACAATAAAGTTTGTTAGTCTTAAAGGTGCCACTGGGCTTTTTACTATTTTACATTATCAAAGTTATCAATAAAGTTGGATGTTCCATATGAAAGCAGAATATCCTTCCTACCTTTACCCATCTGTCTTATATTAAACAATTTATATTAAGAATGTTATGGCAACATATTAACATCCATCAAAAAGCACAAATAACTTTGGCTGCTGCCAAAATAAGCTGGAATACACACGATTCCTTCTAACAGCCCAAGTCTAACAAAAGAAGTTCAGCAACAACAATCCAAAGGAGCAATAGTACACAGCTAGAACTCTGTTTAGACAGTGCCCACTACTGAAGAGACAAAAGGCCTGAAGCAAAACACCTTGCCTGTTCAGCAGCAGGAACGGTTATAGATACATCTAATAAAGACCCAGATGGGCATGTGGTTAACTCTTGCGCATCTTGCAGTGGAGCCAATGCCACATTTCCACAGGCACAAGGACTTCTGCCCACAAAGGGTGACTTTCTAAGTGCCTCCTTCTATCAGCAGCCTGAAATGCCCTCCAAAATCCTGCTGAGGGGGAGGGGGGGCATATACATTTTTTAAGAACACACACACCACACAGATCTTTCAGAGGGGTAAAACATTTTTTAAAAATACCCTTGTTCCCTTTGGCATTGCAGTTTCATCCACCAGCAGACAAAGAATATTGCAAGCAACTAACAGGACTGAGATGGCCTGTGGAAAAAAAGAAACAACATCCTAACGTCAATGAACAGTTGGCCAAATTTCACATCGGTGAGCATTTTGTGGATTAACAGTGAAATTCTCTGCCGGGACAACAAAAGCCAGGGCTGGCGGTACAAGGAGAGAAAGAAAAGAGAGGGATTCCTTCCATTTCTGCTGTACACCTCTCACACATACATGAAAGATCACTAACCTCAAAGGGACAGATGGGTTTTAAGCATGGAAGGAAATTGAAACTTACCGTTTCAATTAGCAGCAGTATCATTACGGCTGGATACACAAGATTCCTCTCCCATGCAGAAGCCTTTTTCCGCCGTTCTTTCAAGAGAAAAACAGGCACCCTTACAATCTTAAGGCTGCTCAAGATGAACACTGTCTTTTTATTCTGAAAACTAGAAACTCTCTAACAATCTCAATCACCGTGTACTGAAAGCAGACCAAAAAAATGGTAGAAGCCGATCCATTGTGGAAAACCTAGGGACAGGGAGCCCCAACCTTGTCGAACCTGGGGGCACACAGGCAATTTTGAAAATTCAGGTGATGGACACAACAAAATGACTCCCGTGGGGGGCGGGGTCCAATCACAAAATGTTGGGTAGTTCTAAGTCAAGCACCCTCCTATGATGGAGGCAGCAGTTTCCAAATGGGTGCCCTAGGCAAACACAGAGGAGATGCCTTCTGGGGTCTTTGGAAGCACCCCCTTCTCCAGCAAAGTAGAACAAAGCCAGGGATTGGTTCTTTGGGAGAAGAAGCAAAAGGTTTCAAGAAATGCCCACGTATCACACTGGGGAGGGGGTGTCACTGCCCTAGGTCAACTTTCTGGTCTACCAACAGCTTCCGTAAGGGCTTAATCCTGGCCTAGAAAGTTCAAGGGTATGGATTGCTCTCATGCAGATCCCTAAATTGCCCCTAAGCATCACTACAGTCAGCCTAAGGATGGATAGCTCCATGACCTTTGGACCCACGCCTCTAGCACATTCACCCCAACATGTTAGCTTTGTACTTGAAGGGACTATTTTATTCAGGGGAACAATTCAAATACTCAGTCCACCCCCTGCTCCCAGGCACATCACCAGAGTTGTCTCCTTGCCTTCAGTCCTGATCTCACTTTTATATCCAGTGTTGCTTGAGTTCAACAGCCCCAATGCCAAAAAACTGGTATGTTTAAAAAGAAAAGAAATTCAGAAAGCAGGATCGTAATATCTGTATTAGGTTGGCTGCTGGCAGGTGCCACTAGTCCCGTCAGTAGGCATCGATATCTGCAACTTGAAACTGAGGACAAGTCTTCTGAGTGTTCCCATCCCTCGTCGGCCCCTGTGGGACCTCTCTAGAATCTCTCGGCCCTGCAAGACGGAGTTGTTCCATCAGGCCTCTTGGTGAGGATGGTCAAGGCCAGTTTTTTACCACCCACTAGCAGTGCCGCTTGCTTTTTTAACAGCAGTCTGGAGTGTGGGTTGTTGGGTGCCAAATAATCATGTTTTATCCTGATGCATGATGATGATTCTGATGCCAAATAATCATGCTTTCTTCTGATGTCTGGTGCTATTTTCTGGATTGTAATTTAATGTTCTGTAAGTATGTTTTACCTCTATTTATAGATTGTTTCATTGGATGCTGTCAGGTGCCCCGAGCCCTGTGACCCAAGGGAGGGGAGGGGTGTAAGTCTAAAAACAAAGCAATAAAATCTCTTGAGATGGGGGCCACTCCGCTTCTGAAGCGGCTAAATCCACAAAAGCTTCCTCAGTCTGTCCTTAAGAGACAGATCCCATTAACTGCTCCACTGGAGAGTCTGACATTCACTACAGAGGGGAGGAGACTCCTCTTCTCAGTCCTTGTAGAGCATGTGCCGGTCTGGCAGAACAGCCTCTGTGACCTGTGAGGTGTCCTTGCTCTGAAAGCATTACTGGAGCACTCCTATTCACTATTTTGTCAAGGTTCCCTCTTTCTTTATAAGTTGTCATGCGGGTGAAAGTGACTGTTCTCTGTGTTCTGTGGCTTTAGAGTCTTTTCTCTGTTGGTTTTCTGAATTAGACTGTATAGCGATCTGTCTTGTTCCAGACTTTCAAACTCAAGGCTAATTCCTGAGTTGATGTACTGTCTGCAAGGGCTGTGCATTCCAGTAGTTTCCGCAATGTTATCGGTCCTGAGGAGAGCGTCTTCTCCCACAGAACAATTTTCAAGCAAAAATATCTTTTGTACCTGATTTGTTTGGTGAACATTCAAACGTTATTGGTCAAATGCTATTGGCAGCTGTCTGCCTCATGTTCCTCCCCTAAACACAGCAGACGCATGTTGACGTTGAAGGCCGATTCCCCCCACAGGCAGAAGAGCATCTAAAAGATTTCCACTGTGCCATGGTCAGGCTGCTTTACCACTGAAGTCTGGCTCCCTCACTTCATAGTACGTTTGGTGAAAACGTTAATGGCGAATCGGCTCGTGACTGCCAATGGAGATAATTCCCAAAGAAGTTACTGGCCCAGTGGTCAATGAAGAACGGAGCGGCTCATATCACTCCAGGAATGCACAGTTGGTGCTGGCCACTGGGAGCTCACACTGAAAACATCGAGCTCTGTAAAGTTTCCAAAGATGGCATCTGCATACATGAGATACACGGACACCATGAAGAATAAGGATATGTAACTCCAGGGAAGCAGCAGAGCTGGTCAGCTGCAGCAGAAACACAGCAGTCTAGTGTCACTTTTTGCCAGTCTAAGATGCTGCCAAGAGACCCCCTGTTTTTGAAGCTATGAAGTAGGGCTGCCAAGCAGCGGCAGGGGATCCGCACATCTTCACAGAATCCCTGCCGCGGGGGACAGCGATATGCGTTGCACCGCCGTCGCCAGGATGTGACACTACGCGTCGCTCTGGCAACGGGGCTGTTTGGAGTCCCGTTGCCAGAGCGACGCATAGCGTCACATCCTGGCGACGGCGGTGCAACGCGTATCGCTGTCCCCCGTGGCAAGGATCCTGTGAAGACGTGCGGATCCCCCGCCGCGGCTTGGCAACCCTACTATGAAGACACCTATACAGAGCTTTCTAAGTATTTTATAAACAAGGCCTCCTGTTGTTTACCCCCAAATATTCTCACTAAGAACATTTTAACAACGTATGTGCATACATGTTTCTAACAATGCCAAGAAAGCTTCTTTGCAAACCAGTACCTGCAGGAGACCACACAAAAAGGAATGACGTCATTACCCAATTTGAACTTCATGCTCCTCACATTGTTAAGTTCCTGTTCCAGCTGCTTTGTATTATGCTCCATGGGAGAAGATACACCTGGGCAAAAACAAAGATACAGTCATTTGCTTAAGACCACTAACCACAATAAAGATTTAGCATGATAGCAATGATGGGTAGAACTACAGCGCAACTCCTTAGACAAATTTCACCAGAAAAACGTGCCATCTGATATGCAATTGTTCACTACTAGTGGCATCTCTGAAGAGCCCACTAAAATCCCTTCTTACCTCCCCAGCCATTCACGACATGAACTACAAAAGCTGCGATGAATGGAACTGGGGAAAGCTGTAAGATACCAATGCAGGAGCCTCATCTGGCATAGCAAAGCCCAGCTTTTGCACCTTAATCAGCTGCATGATACCATCCCATAAATCATCTCAAATTCACCTGCTTCAGCAAGGCAGCATGAATGAGACTAGTTAATGGACAATCAAATGGTCAGGGCTCAAATGTACAGCTTACCTTACCATACAGCAGCTGCTCTGGGCAACTGAATTTAGGAGGACTTGCTATTTCCTACTACAGAAGTAACATTTTTTGAAATGTTTGAAGCTATGGAAAATTTCCAGGAGGGGGAAACAAAAATTGGGGGGGAAATTAAATATAAGCAGTACTTTCTAATCAAATTTAAGTTTTTTTACTACTTTTTTTAAAAAAGAGTTATCATTTATAACCCAGTAGCAGCTTAACCACTAACAAAAGTTGAGGGGGGGTATGAGCTTTCTTGAGTCACTTCTCACTTATTCAGAACATTTATAGATCAGTTAGCATATCAAATTGTACTATTCATGGAATTTCACAATAGAAATACCTTTGTTTTCCAAAAGCAAAACCACCAATATACTACCAATCCTAACAATATACTAGCAAAACTTGAGAGTACTGCAAACCACTGCACCCTCCGCTACCTTAGGACTTGTATCTTTACGTTTTAGCTCTATGAGAAGTTGGAAGAAAAACATTAGTTGAACATAGAAAATGAAATTTTTGCATTAAGCAAAAAAGTGCATTCCTAGAAATTTATTTATTATTTTATTTATTTAATTTTTACCCCACCCTCCCCGCAGAGCAGTGTCAGGGCGGCTGACACTGGTTAATACATAAATAACAGTTAAAGAAACAGTCTCAGTCATGATAGGACTACCAACATATTTGGATATCAGTTTAAATTTTATAAACACTGAACCCTTCAATAGTGTATTACAATACATGCAACATATTGGGGGGGGGAGTAGCCAATTTGCATAAACAGAATAATATATAAATTTAGTAAAATAAAATATTCAGTTATTTTTGTATTCATTCTATGGCTGTCATTTGAAAACAAAATGGATCTTTTTGGTGACAAAGCCCACAGCAAATACCCAGCTTCATTAAAATATAACTTGATTATTTTGATTTTAGAAAACATTTACACAAGCATAGTCATCATCACCTGCACAATGGTTCATGAATCCCAAGGTTAGTATATCCGGTTTCATGTAACCAATGAGTACATTAAAACACTACCCTGTTTTTAAACTTCACTCCCGGCATAGGCATCAATCCATCAAGATACAGCTGGAACAATTGGTTCAGATTCCTTTTCGGTTTAATAAAACAGTAATCAGTTCCATTCCATTCAATTTGTTAATGCTCACAGACCAATTTGTCATAAGTAAATAAAGATACAAAATACATAACTACACAGTTGCCACCTAAGTTGACTTGCTTACAAAAGGAAACTTCCCAGCTCTATTATGGGACAGTATCACTTGCCCCTGTAGTCCACCTGATGGCGTTGAGGAGCCTTTCTAAACCATATGCACAGCTAAAACTGGAAGAAACTGCTTGTAATAAAAGCATTTGCGTTTCTCGTTTTAACATTCCCCTAATGTTAATTCACCCGGTTCTCCAGCTGTAGAACAATGGCCCTGAGGCTAATTCACAGGACGCCGTCTCCTTATGTGGAACAATCTCCTTGGGTGAGATGCAGGACTCTAAGGCATGTATTATCTGAGGCCTCTGACAACTCTTGACTCAAAATCCTGGCAGACAGTCCTGGATGCCTCCATCTTGTAAAAAACTGCAGAAGGCATCCCCAAACACACACCAATTAATCATCCACTTTTTTGTTCAAATTATACTCCAACATCACAAGACAGCAGGCTGAGCAGGTGTTTGCTTTTATCTTCTTCTTTTGTCTCAAGAGAAAGGTCACCAGTGGGATGGAGGACATACTCGGACCCAGAGATTTCCAGGTTCGATCCCCATCATCTCCCGTGCAAGATCTCAGGTAGGAAAACCTCATATAGCCAAATCAGTGGTCTAATTCACATAAGTTTCATGTGCCAATAATGTAGGGGTGTGAATTTTAACCATCTACATTGAATCTCAGGGTTTTCATATAAGTCTATGAAAACTGCATCAAATCTTAATGTTTATGTTGGTAGGAAAATGACAGCCCTTACAACTTCCTCCAAAATGATAACAGAGTTAACATTGATCCCAATAATTTGCCAAAGAGCAATGCAGCATTTTAAAACAATCAAACCAGATGCCTGGAACACAGCACAAGCTATTCAAAGCGCTACACCCCCTTAACTTCATTTCAAACAACCACAAAAAGTTTAATGTCTGCATTGTCTAGCCAATAAATCAAACTGGTAGACGGAATTTGTTCAGACTAGTCATGAAAAATTAGAAGGGATTCTCCAAGAAAACCACAAAGCAGCTCATTTAAGGTCAATTTAACAGTATTATTTTGTTTTTCTTCCAGCCCCAACATAATATTTCAGTACCTCAAAGGAAATTGTAGGAGTATCTCTTTGCATTCCCTGTAGGTGATTGGCAGTTCAGTACCAATTAGTTCAAAATTACACTGTTACTAGTGCGCAATAAAAACAACACCTTTCATCTTTCTTACATAGGCTAGAATATCTCTAGAGCCAATAACTTTGATCAAATAGGTATTTTTGATCCTGCCCCACCCATCTCCTTGGATTCAGGAAAACCAATAGCCAAAGGCAACTTTTCCCTTTTAATATAAAGAATGTCCTAGCTTTATTCTTTTGGAGAAGGAATGATGCGGGTATTGAAATACAATATGATAAAAACACTCCTTCCATCCCAGTCACTCTTCCACAATGCTGTTAAAACAGATTAACAACTGTTCCCATGATTCTCCCCCTCCCCCCGTAACTTCCTGTGCGAATAAATTTATAACTGACATGCTAAAGGCACAAGAGTTCTCAATATTATCCAAAAACATAGGCATTTAGAAAAGCCCAGGAAAAATATCAACTCGCGTCTGTGCTTTTTTCATTATGCGGCAGCACACAAAGTCAGCTCTGGAGAAAAATGCTGCTGATTCAAATCCACCAGCAAGGAAAGGTCAAGAATTACTGCTGCAAATCTTTTCCCCTGCTCCTCACAAGTAAAGGCAAGTCCCATGATCCTTCACCACAGTAGTATTGAAGGTTTTTTTTCAAAAAACACAACTAACATCTTTGGTATGGAGGTTCACAAGCAAACTCTGGTCTGACACACAACCTAGTATTCGTTCATTCCCGGCTGCATACAAATGCAAAATTTTATACTTTTATATTTATAGCCAACAGCAACACCAGAGGAGAGGTTCTGGCCTCCATCCTCTGCTATTAGGCCTTCACAAGCAGTATGGGGAAAACAATGCTGGACTATCCTGGTCTGATCCAGCAGAACTACTCTTAATTTCACTTGTCTATTCATAAATATGTTGGGGGGAATACCCTTGGGTTCAGATGTAACACAAAATACAGGAGAAGACAGCTGCACAGAAGACAGAGCGAAACAAAAACAAAAAGAGCCATGGTGCAGTGGGAAGAAGAATTATTTTATTTAGTTTTGCTGCCCCTAAGCATTTCACATACACTTCTTCAAGAGGACCTATAAGAATGTAAATAAAAGCATGAAAAAAATAAATTACCACTAAGAAGCAGGATTAAGAGACTTAGTTAAAAGACAGTAGCCTCTGTGCATGTGAAAAGTACACAGATGTATCCAGAACTATACAGAGCATGTTTCAGATAGTCTGCAGGTGCAATACATGGTTGGAAATGAATCTTAAAACAAAATTTACGCAGATCACTCAAAAACTTTCACAAGCTGGAAAAATGAATGGCTAACCCATAAAAGTGAAAAACCCAAGCAGTTCCCCAGTGCAACAGAACTTCAGAGCGAGGGGCGTGGTGGTCTGATTCAGTTTTTAATCTCATATAAGAGAACCATTTGAGGCTTTCGTTTAACCCATTAGGGACCAGAGCCATCAGTCTTGAAATCCATTCTGTCTCTTTTTTCAATAACATTTTATCAAGATCTAGGTGGGCAGCAGTGTTGGTCTGAAGCAGCAGAACAAAGTTTGAGTCCAGTGGGGCACCTTTAAGACCAACAGTTTTATTCAAGGTATGAGCTTTTGTGTGCAGACACCCTTCTTCACTGGACTCAAACTTTATCACTATGGCATAAGGATCTAAAAATATATCAAAAATGTAAAGTCCTTTGGAGCATGTTCGTGCTGTAGAAAATGCTCAACCAAAGGGGCAACTTTTTAAAGGTGGGTATTACTTTTGTGCTCTGCAATACACTCTCTTGTCATATGGATTAATATTTTTTAAAATAATTTTTATGATGCTCCATAAGCTTGCAGAATGAGCAGTTTCCATAAGGAAAATGTCCTGTAGGTAGATTAGATCCCAGCAGAATTCATTGTGATTTAGCAGGTTGATGTATCCACTGACCTTTCAAATTAGGTGTTCTTTTGAATGAGACTGAGAGGCCATGGTGGCTCAGAGGTTAAGACACTGAGCTGCAGACCCAAAGGTCTGTAGTTCAGCAGTTCAAGACCCGAATGCCGCGTGACGGAGTGAGCAGTCTGAAAGCAAGAAACTGCTTCCAGGGCAGTTGATGGTGGCTATCGTATCTGAGAAATAAATTTTTATCTATGAGCTTTTAATATAGACCCATCAAAATCTTTCTGCCCTTGATAACTATAATATCCAGAAAATTAACCTTTACATGCAATTCAAACCTGATATATCCTGTGTGTGTTGTGTGTGTTGTGGAATGCCAAGAACTGGTCATGACTGCCTTTCCTTAGCAAGAAAATATTATCAGTGAAGTGCCACCATGTAATAATAAATTCCAAAAAAAAACCCAACACCACAGATCTGTACAATGTTCTTCAAACTGTTCTCAAAAATGACCCATATACAAGTTGGCTACCTCTAGTACCACAGAGGAACCCACTGCTACACCTTAACTTGCCAATAAAATGTATTGTTGAATGCAAAATAGTTGTTTTTCAAAGATAAATCTAGTAATGCCATAAGGAAATATGTGGGGGGCAGGGTTGATGCCGCAAGAAGTGGTGATAGCTACAAGCACAGATAGCTTCAAGAGGGGACTGGATAAATATATGGAGCAGAGATCCGTCAGTGGCTATTAGCCACAAGGTATAGATGGAATACTATGTCTGGGGCAGTGATGCTCTGTATTCTTGGTGTTTGGGGGGGGGGCAACAGGGGGAGGGCAACAGAGGGAGGGCTTCTGAAGTTCTGACCCCACTGGTGGACCTCCTCATGGCACCTGCGTTTTGGCCTCTGTGTGACACAGAGTGTTGAACTGGATGGGCCACTGGCCTGATCCAACATGGCTCCTCTTATGTTCTTATGTACCTTTTGTGTCTTTTGTTTAAAGTACTTTTTATAATAGATAATGAGGGATATTGGTATAAAGAATGCTTAAGTCCTGGAATACCTAGAAGAAGGGCAGGTATATAAACAGTTTAAATAAATAAACTGTCAGAGATTTCAGCTTTCAAGGAGGGAGGGAATGCATGACCCCAACTTTGCTGGCAGGAAACCAGATGATGATAACCATCATATAATCTACCTACCATTTAGCCTCCGCAGGATGGCTGCTTCTTCTAGGGAAATGATGTATATCTGTTCATCCAGGTCTTCAAGGATCTAAGTTCAGAAGAGGAGACACTAGATTAACACGCTTCCTTGGCAATGATTCACGTGGCCCACCTTGCGCAGAACCTGTAGTGAGAACGGGGATTTATGCAGGAGCAGGTCTCAGGTGTGTGCTAAGTGTCATCAAGTCACTTCTGAGTTATGGCGACCCTATGAATTAACAGCCTCCAAAATGTCCTATCATTAACAGCCTTTCTCGGGTCATACAAACTGAGGGCTGTGACTTCCCTGACAGAGTCACTCCATCTCAGGTTGGGTCTTCCTCTTTTCCTGCTACCTAAAACTTTTCCTGGCATTATTATCTTTTCCAGTGAGTCTTCTCTTCTCATAATGTGACCGAAGTACAATAGCCTCAGTGAAAAAAAAAAAAGCCCAGCAGAAACTCATTAGCATAACAGGCCACACCCGACAGCAGAAATTTATTAGCACATTAGGCCACACCCCTGACAGTGCAGCTCATTAGCATATTAGGGCACACCCTGTGCCTTCCCTTGGCTTGCCCGGGCACCCCGGCAAGCCGGCCCTTGGAGGGGAGGGGAGACAGTTTAAACTACCTTCCCTTTGCTTGCCCAGATGTGCTGTGGGGAGCCCGGGCAAGCTGATTCTTGGACAGGCCGGGGAAGGCACAGGGAGGCATTTAAATGCCTCCCCAATCCTGTGGGGTCGCTCTCCAGGCCTTCCCTCTGAGAGTCACCGGTGGGGTCGCTCTCCAGGCCTTCCCTCTGTAGCCACGCACACAGAGGTTTTGGCTATAGTTGGCATGGCCAACTCGGAAGCCAGCCGAAACTCCGTTCCTGTGCGTTCCTGCCCAAAAATAGCTCTGTCATTTTAGCTTCTAGGGAGAGGCTCAGGCTTGATTTGATCTAGAACCCACTGATTTGTGTTTTGGGCAGTCCACGGTAACCGTAAAACTCTCCTCCAACACCATTTCAAATTAAACACTTTTTGTCCTGTCTTCTTACTATCTAATACTCCTGGGCAATATGGGAACCAGGCCTTAGTTGTCTGAAATCATGTACCTTCGTTTTTATACAAGATTTCATCCTTGTATTTTGCCTACAGCAAAAAGACAGGAAGAGTGCTAAACCATTTGGGTCATCACACTGTAGTTACGCACACAGCTAAACATTAACGAATGACAGCTTTACCAGCAGCGGTTTCAAAATGCGACAGGTCTACTATGATTGCCCATCAGCTCATACTTCAGCAAAAGTGGCTCAAGGCAACAACTAAGAGTTAACAATCAGGTCATTTGCACACAAGTGCTCTCAACAAAGCAAAGTTAACCAAGTAGACTTTCAGGGCTTCTGGCATCTTCTCTGGTCTTATAAATATTCAAGATTCACAAGAGGTGGCTTGACCTTTTCCTTGGTCTCCTGCCAGGTTTTTATCTTCGTCTCCAAACTACTCAACTGGCAATTTTAAATTTGCATAAACAGAAACGAGCTTATGCATATTGAACAGCACTCTTCAAATATGGGGGGAACGTTACAATAAGATGATGAACTGATGACAGAGGTCAGGACCACAATTCTGCAAATATATAAGCATAAATTTAATTGTATACAAAGTTGGAAACAGGAATACTCGTTTGCAGGACTATGGATTTTATCATGAAGCCAGCCTCTTCTCTGAAATGTATGAAATAAAAACCAATTGTGTTTAGAGAACAAAAGCTGGCAACGCTTTGTATGGATGGCTAAATTATAAAGTTGCCCTAAAAAAATAAAAATGAATCTACTTAAATAAAGCCATCTTCCAGCTTCGGATATGCTGGGAAGTTAAGTGTGTATCATGCGTACCGTTGGTTTCACAAGCAACTGACCCATCACTGTAAACATTCGTGAAAGTCCCACTGGCGTGCATACTGTGGAAGAAAACAGATGTCAACCAATAATTCAAAGTACCAATCTACATTATACAGAATTTGAAATCTTCTGCCAAATTAAGAGAATAAAACCAGGTATTTCTGTCTGGACATGGCAACTGCAGCAATATTTTGAGCTGTCAGCTCTAAGCTAATACAGATATTTATTTATTGATTGATTGATTGATTTGATTTTTATCCCGCCCTCCCGCCAAAGCGGCTCAGGGCGGCTTACAACAATAAAAGCAATAAAACAATACGTCTAAAACAATATACAGTACATTAAAATCACAGTTTACCCACATTATCATATACATTATAATATACACAGGATGGCGACTATAAATGCTGACATACTCAATCTAGATTGTTGAATGCTTGGCGGAATAACTCCGTCTTCACCGCTCTCCGGAACTGACTGAGATCCCGGAGGGCGCGGATCTCCTGGGGGAGCTGATTCCATATTGTTGGTGCAAATTGGACCTGGCTTTCAACTTTAGTAGACCACTCAAGCTTCTGGGCATTCTAAAGGTAAAGGTAAAGGTTCCCTTGCTCGAAAGCCAGTCGAATCCGACTCTAGGGTTGCGGTGCTCATCTCCGTTTCAAAGCCGAAGAGCCAGCGCTGTCCGAAGACGTTTCCGTGGTCATGTGGCCGGCATGACTAAACCCCAAGGCGCACGGAACGCTGTTACCTTCCCACCGAATTGGTACCTATTTATCTACTTGCAATTTCTTGCTTTCGAACTGCTAGGTTGGCATTCTAACCCATGACAAAAAGAAGATCCGAGAGGACTTGCAGGGAATGGGGAATTCCATTTTCTCCCCTTGCCACTAGCTCCAGCTTCTCCCATCTCTTGCTGCCAGGTATGGGCTCACACACACCCTTAACAGTTCTCCTCTGCCTCCTACTGGCCTGCCACAATTCTGGGTGCCATCCAAACTCCCACAACCTACAGCACATGCTTTTTTGTGTGTGAGATCCATACATGAGCAAATCAATTTTGGGGGGACATTTTAATCACAACATTAGTAGAAACCAGAACAAGAAAAGGAGTATTACATATGTCAAGACAAGGTTCATTCCAGAGGTTCTCACAATTAATGGGGCCCTATTATAATATATGTTCTTTACACGTCAACATCACCGTTACCTCAGACCTAACTGAATGAGTAACAATAGTGAAATGTCAAAGATGTCTGGACTAAAAAGGCCTAAAATGCACTGAACAACAGCAAGCTATTCTTTACTTTTCTATTACACATCACAAAACTTACTTAGAAGTAATAAACATCCCATCAGTGATATACAGGAATATAAATAAGGGAGGTAGAATTCCCAAAGATCTGAAAAGAGAAATTTAACACAGATTCAGTTAGTGTGCTATTATTTAAGCCTACTCTACCCATGGTAATGTTAGAAAAATGGGACCCATGTACCATCCTCAAGCTGAAATGAGTATGCAGTTTTCTGGAACTACACTTAATTAAACTAAATACCGAACATCACTCAAACAGATCTGCACAATTGGGCACTTTAACAACAAATGCAATTAACTGAATATAAGTAATGTCACAGCAAGTAGTTCTTTATTCTTATGCAAAGCATGCCGATATTTTTCAAGTTAAGCAAGCAAATGCAGCTTCTCTCGCCTCCTCTGCACTGCGCTAGGACTAAACAAAGTCATGGCGATTTGCCTCCATGCTGCAAATTCACCCACACAAATGTTAAGAGAGACTTACGTACCATACAGAGACTCCATACTTGCTGCATCATTGTCTATGAGAGCTGAGGCCACCCACACGATTCCAAGGATAAGCAGTGCAAGAAGAATGAGCATAACAAGAGTTTCCAGAATGCGCGCTTTGATCCCCTAGAACAAACAGAATGTCATTTTTGAAACAGGGAGGGCTAGAACCCATGGGCCCATCCCTGTAATTGAGATGCTCTCCTCTGGTTGTCACAAAATGCTCTTCCCTGAGCCACAGGGCCCAACCCACAGTGCCCAGCTGCATAATATTTCTTATGCGGCGCTATCTTCCCTTAAAGTGGCTTTTGAGAGAGTCTAGTCGCTTTTTACTTCGTTGACAACCAAGGGAAAAGGGTTTAAAATTACCAACTAGCGGCACAGATCTGATTCATTTCACAAGAGCCAGTGTGGCCCAGTGGTCAGAGTGTCAGACTAAGATCTGGGAGAACCAGGTTCAAATCCCCACTCCGCCATGGAAGCTTGCTGGGTGACCTTGGGCCAGTCACACACCCCCGGCCTCGGGAGAAAATGGAGGAGAAAAGAATGACGTACGCCACCTTGGGTCCCTACCAGGGCGAAAGGTGGGATATAAATGAAGTAAATTAATTCAGTTAAAGAATTCTTCACATCTTATGATTTATTTTTTTGCAGGAGCCCTTTTTTAAAAGACAGACTTGCTTTCATTAACACTTTCAGCTGAGAAAGTGGATTGGCAAATTCCATCTACCATTCCAATCTAGAGAGTGGAAGGCCAATTACGGCAGACAGCCAGACAGCCTAGCTGGCACCAGAATTGGGGTCCATTTTACCTAGGCAATCGGTTCAAACTACAGCCCTCCATTCTAATTGGTTTTGACCTGTTCCTTACGACGAAGCCCTCAAGTACACAGCAGGCTCTGCTCCCGCAAACACAGCACTTGCTTCACGCATATCCCACTTTTCTCCCCAACGGAGACCCAAAGTTGCTTACAACATTCTCCCCTTCTCCATGTTATCCCCACAACCACCCTATGAGAGAGGTTAGGAAGAGAGTGGTGACTGGCTCAAGGTCACTCAGGCTTCCACGGCAGAGGGGGATTTGAACCCAAGCCCCCGAGTGGTGACTGGCCCAAGATCACTCAAGTTTCCATGGCAGAGGGGGATGTGAATCCAAGGCCCAAATAATAATCCAACACACTAACCACGCTGATGTGCTCTGCTGCAAACTCAGTTTTGTTACTTCTTTACTTTTTGGTGTTGCTGGATTATTATTAATGCTGTTCTACTTTTATTAGGTGCCACTGGACTCTAAAATTTGTTCTACTGCTTCAGACCAACACGGCTGACCACCTGGAACTATCTACTTTTATTAGTGTTTTAGATTGTTTTAAAAAATTGGTTCCGGTAATACTGATTTGCTTCTGTTATCCTTTTATCCAGGCCACCCTGAAAACCTTAATTTTGTTACCAAGCATTACTGATTTTGACTTGACGTCAGTCTTTAGAGTCATCTACCCCAAACAGTTCCCATCTTTCAAACAGACCACTTGATGTTTTCACTGATGTTAGATATTCGCTGCCAATTCAATAATGAAGGAAGTTTCAAGGTTAATGTTTGAGCTTCGTTGTCACAAAAGCAGTTTTAAAAAGAGCATGTGTGTTTCAGACCCATTTTTTGTGCACTGGCTATATTCTTCAAGATTACAACCATCCTGCTGCAAAGACTCAGGAACAAGGACCGTACAATTAATCCTTCTATAAACAGAAGATGCCTGTAAAGTGAGGTTCCAGCTGGAAACCTTGCTCATGTATGAATGGCAGCTGACTTTACAATCTTGTAGCAATGAGAGACGAGGAAGCCACAAAGCATAATTACTAAGAGAGAAGCCCTCTCTCCTCCTCCAATAAACCCATATTGAAGAGGATTACTATTATGTCAATTGAAACACATTAAGACATGCCTCGTAGTAAATGTGTTTATAGGTAATACCTAGAGGGCAGTTTCTCTGGTGTGCCTGATTTCTGATGACAGCTCCTTGCTGACTTGGATCAATTTTTACTTCAAATGTTCAGACTTTGAACACGCAGAATATTCCAAAACGGCAAAGAAGTTTACTGCGCAAAGTGAGAGCCTCTCCTAGGGATAAATTCACATGATTTTGGTTCCTGTAACTAAACATTAAGCCATTTTCAACAACTTTCCCATGGGCACAAGCCGGTTTTAGGTTATATACAGGCCAGCTTTGGGCTCTATACTTTATGTTATATACGTCGGCAGCTGGGGCTGTCCGAAATTTAGTGAAGAGCACAGAAGCCTCCTTTTGTCTCCATCCTTAAATCAAGGTCAGAATGCAAGGAGGAAACCTCACAACTGCTCATCTTTCCCAAGGGAAGGCCACTCAGTAACACAGTTTTTGCACGAATGAGGGTAAAAGACGATCTAGATGTCAGTATATTACAAAGAGATCTCCATCAGCTCCGACACAAGGAGAGTGGGTTGCCTCATTCCCAAAAGTCCCTTGAGAGGCTTCACCATTTTTTTTAAATATTATTGCGCAGTAACAGTAGAAAAGAGCAAGAGTCCAGCATCACCTTAAAGAGTAACAAAATTTGTGGCAGGGTAGAAGCTTTCATGAGGCACTGCTCACTTCACTTCATGAGCAATGACTCACGAAATTGTGTTAGTCTTTAAGGTGCTAGTGGACTCCTGCTCTTTTCTACTGCTACAGACAGACTAACGGGGCTACCCGTCTTGATCTATTGTAAACTGAGGTTTCTACAACTGGTCCACTGCACACAATGTAAACACTTCCCCGGTGTTTATAGTCTTTACTCTTAATAGAGGTGACTGTAGACGTGTTTTTTTCTATAACGAGATTTGTCAGCTTTTATAATTTGGAAAGGTAAAATTTATGTAAAACATAATAATTAAAATTTCAGGAAAAGTGGGAGAACTAAGCTAAGCTAAACTATTAAGCACTTGTGCCCGCACCATGTTTCTTTATTAAATATTTCTTTTTTGATTTCTTGAGCTCTTCCCAACAGCTAACAAAAATTCCCCCCCCGCAAAACAAAACAAACATAGGACAGGATCCAGTAGAAAATGTGAGGGGGGGGCAATTTTCACCAGTTTCTCCCTCCCACTGCAGCAGACCTCCTACTCTTCCCCAGGAGTATCATTCCAAGGGGGCTTTTGGAGACAGAGTGGGGGGGGAAGGCAAGAAGTCCCACTCTGCGGGCAGGAATCCTTTTCATCAGTGGAGATTTTCTACAATATTCAAGCTACAAACTAAAACGGTCATATTATACGCATGATGAATGGCTGGCCCTGAAGCCCTTTGAGGAGGCAGCATTTCCCCTTATAAGCACCCTGCAGCCACCACATACTGTGCCCCTCCATACATGCCAAAAGGAAGGAGGCAGAAAAGTCCATCATGCACTGGATCTCTTCAGACAACCTGCCAGCACTAGAGTCCCAGTTCCAAGTAACTGCATAATGGGAAAAACTGGTGCATGAAATAAATCTGTAATATGGGTTGGATCCAACCCACACTTCTGCTGGTAAAAAGGAAGGAAAAGTTCCCTTTGACTACCAAAAAAAGGCTATGCCGGGGACAATGGGACCTGCATCTACTGAAGCCATGTGGGACATGTAGAATAAGAACACAAGAGAAGCCAATGTTGGATCAGGCCAAAGGCCCATCTAGTCCAACACTCTGTCACACAGTGGCCAAAAATACCAGGTGCCATCAGGAGGTCCACCAGTGGGGCCAGGACATTAGAAGCCATCCCACTGTTGACCCCCCCCCCCAAGCACCAAGAAGACAGAGCATCACTTGCACCAGAGCCCCTATCTATACCTTGTGGCTAATAGCCACTGATGGACCTCTGCTCCATATGCCTATCTAATTCCCTTTTGAAGCCGTCCATACTTGTAGCCACCACCACTTCCTGTGGCAGTGAATTCCATGTGTTATGGAGGGGAACAGGGAGATACTGAGTGAAGAAGCTGGATGGATCCAACTCTGTGCCTCTAACCCTGCAAATCAAATAACTGAAACATCATATATTCCCAGTTCTGCAGGGTAGAAAACAGTCAAGCAAACAGTTACAAATGTAGGGGGAAAGCCTTCTATGATCCCAGGATATGCGCTGGAAAAGACACAAGACACAGCAGCATTACTGAAGCTAAGCAGGTCTGGTCAGTGTCAGAAGGGGAGATCTTCTGAGAAGCCTGCCTGGGCCACCTTGAGATCCATTGTGGAAGGAACAAGGAGGTGTGTATTTAATGAATAAAATAAATAGAAAATAAGACAATCTAAGCACAGGGTAGGAAACATGTGTATACAACACAGACTGCAAGAAGACCTCCCATTTCAACCCTATGTGTCGGTCATTATGGCAGCATCTGAGGGCCAGCTGTCCTGCCTGCTCGTAGATCACTGGAATGAAAGCACGCAGTGGAATACTAATCTAAGGGATATATACAGAGAGGCATATGTTTAAGTTATTTATTTATATTTAGATAATTTTAGGCCACCTCGCTGGGGGAACCTGCCCAAGGCAGTTTACAAAATAACATAATAAAACGCAAGCATTAAAAGCTATAGATTAAATACTAGCATTAAAAAACCCAGCCAGAGAATTTTTTTTAAAAAGTCACTGAGTAGCTTAAAATGAATGTAACAATTTTCAGACTTAAAAGCACACTATAAAATTATTTTTGGGAGAGAACCCACCTCTGAATTAAAAGCCTGGGTAGGCAAAACCTTTTGGCCTTGCGCCTAAGAGGAAGGGACACAGGGACCCAGACAAGCCTCAAGGGAAAAAAGAGCGACCCACAGGTAAGGTGCCACTGCTGGAAAAGGCCATCTCTGGTTGCTGCCTGCCTCACTTCTGAAGGCAGAGGCACAGAGAACAGGGCTTCAGAAGAAGGAGAGATTGGATTGGATTTATACCCCACCCTTCCCTCGGAGTCTCAGTGGCTTACACACTCCTTTCCCTCCCCCTCCCCACAACAGACACCCTGTGAGGTAGGTGGGGCTGAGCGAGCTCTGAGAGAAATGCCCTTTCAAGGACAGCTCTGATAGAACTATGGCTTGCCCAAGGTCATCCAACAGCTGCAAGTGGAGGAGTGGGGAATC